AATAAAAGATCCGCGATCTAGTGACACGGACCGTATCTTATAAAAGCGAATTTCATAACAATATTTATTGTAGAATTAAGATATTTTTAGACAGATAATATATCTTCATGAGAGGAATAGATAGAATAGCTTTCAACATGTTTGTCTTGTTTATCTTCCGAGTAATATAGGGAGAAAAGATAAAAATTGAACCATTTATAACTTTGTGCAGGCGTGGCTGACTTTTTTCTTTTTTGTTCAAGTGCTGCAGTGAATTAGCTTTGATTTTTAAAAACAGAGATGTTCTCAGATTATTGTGTTGTACTATGATCACATGTTTTGACCGACTTATCCCATTCGCAGGAACTTCTAATATTTCTGCAGAATTTTTAGCGGATAACTTCATTTTATCAACCCAGGGAATGTTTACCACAGACATTACACAGACAGTCGGACGGACGAACATGTCTTGTTCGCTTTAGATCAAGCATATATGCGCTTTATGAAGCGTCCTTCTGTATGTTGCAAACGTTTCGACCAAAATGAATATGGCTCTCATCTTTTGGTTATGAGTATTTCCGCATTCGTTAATGCTCGAGAATATTACGTTATTGCGACTGTTGGCGAATTTTTTGTGCTTTAGCACAAAACCATCTTAGTAATATCCATTGATGGACCGCACTCTAATCAACCAATTGTCAATATTGTCAATCGATGGAATTGTTCAGCAAAATTGAGGAAGATTGGAAAAGTGGACGAAAAAACTATTTTGCACAGTTCCCATCAGATTGTGTACCACCAGCTTTAACCGTAAGAAACTTTAAGAAGAATGATAATCGGTGATGGAACATATGTCGTTCGAGCAAAATCGTTGCGCAAGATGAGTAAAGCTGCTCAAACGAAGTTTCCTAAGGCTTTGTATTTGATGGAACAGCAAGGAAATTGTGCGCTACAAATTGCTCCAATTCAATCGGGCGACATGTAATGCTACTAAAACTGGCAATTGAGGTACAGAAGCTGTCGTTCATGCCAACAATGCCATCCGGCCACAAAAATTAAGAGGGCTTGACGTCCCGAACCAACCTTTGTACAATTACCGTTTGTTCTGCTTCCCGCAGAACTGTCTTAATCGACTAAGGGGTCAATTAAAGAAAGGGATTTCAGAATCACTTAGTTCGGAATTCTTCCAGAATTTTCAGAAGTCCAACAATGATGGCGACAGGCTATTAATCAGTATATAGAGTATATTTCAAGTGCCGTTCCTAGATATCTAGGTTACTGTATATTCCGTAAAAGCTGTTTTTTTGTTTTAAGTGTCATATCGATATACGACATTTAAAATGATGCAAAATTAGTAAGCATGAATACGAACGACGGTGTTGCAAATCCTCAAAAGGTGCGGACACTTCACAAGGTTAGGTAAAAAAATTTGATAGATAATCAAAAAATTTTAGGGGCCAACACCACAGTAGATTTTTGTGGAAAATGTATTTTTTTTCTTTATTTACCTAAGACAATTGTGGGCATAGCAGCATTTGATTTTGCGAACATAATTCTATGGCACTAGAAAAATGGTTTTTGAAACCGGCAGGCAGCCTTTCTTTTTTTCAATTCAAATTCTTTACTGCATTTTTAGAAAAATGCCTCGAATATTTTCGATAAATTAACTCAAAGACTTTTTATTATTAAAAATAGAGTGATCTCTTTTATCGACCGAAGATAGAAATTTTTCCGTTCAGGCATTTGCACAGCGAATACCCGTCCGGTAAGTTAACTAACGTCCATTCGTGTGTTCATTGAAGAGTAAGTACGTGCTGTTCTTTTAGTTGTAACAGTCTGAGGAGTATCAGTGAGCCAAAAATATAGTACCCCTCTCACATCTCACGAACTAGCTAGCTCAACAGGGGCACGTACATCGCTCTCATATGCTTCCAATCCTGCTAAAGTGGCACTTTCGAATTGCCTTTAATTTTAATTCTATTAAAAGAGGAAAAATATAAACAATATCGTTACAAAAAGATAAATATATCTAAAATATCTTACCTACTTCCCTGCTAATAGGAATCTAGATAAAGGGGTTATATTTTTGTTCTTAATTCAACTTGGGATCAATTAAGCGCCAAGCACAATTTTTGCGCTAAGCGCTCCACGCGCTGTGCATATAAATAAAATTGACACTATTGCTATCTATTTCTTTATGAAAAAAAAGATTACTTTTCGATTTTTTAATTGTATTTCGATTTAAAAAAGTAAATCTTCAAAAAAATTTTTCGCTTTATTTTTTTGCACTTCAATAATGTTTATGTAAAGACATGCTCGCCATATGATCTCACTTTAGCCATGCACGCAAGCTATGTGTTTAACTGATTTTGCGATATGCATTTTGTACAACACTTCATGCACTCTAAATCAACGAGACAATCCCAGTCATCGTCATTCCTGGGTCGAATCAGTTAGCAATCAACCGACCCGACGTAACAGTTCAACCGACTTAGCAACATACAATGGAGACGATGATAGCATCAGCAGTTCGCCGGTGTAGCCAAGCTAAATAATTCGAATAGTGTTCTTCTTGAAGCTTTTCACAAAAAAAAAGGGTTCTGGACATTTTCCTCCTTCCATAATTGAACCCAGTGAGAAGCCAAGCACTACCAAATTCAATCCTGATTTGCCTCATGTGTCTACAGATAAAAAAGCTTTACCCGAATGCTTCCAAATGCTGGCATGGACTTTAGCTACTCCTTCATAGTGCTACATGGCAATGGCCCCGATTTATAATGTTGCTTAGAAATCAATTTTTTTTTTTAATATTTGAATAAACATCTGATAGTCTCGCCAAATATTATTATTCTGCTATCTTTGCAAAAAGCTCTTCTTGGGGGGTGGCCCAATTAAAATGTCGCTTATATTCCCACGTTTGGGGGACGCAGTCAATTTGTAAATTTTATAAATTTTACAAATTTATACTCTAAAGTAAATTAAACTAAATTTATTAGGTGCTTGCAAAAAGTTTAATCAACGACTTCTACAAGCAAAGATGATAAAGAAATGGAGCTCCAGTGTGCATAACGGTTGAATTCGATAATTTTGACCTTCCTCTACATAAAATAACTGTTTTTCATTTAATACTATTGATTGATTTGGCGTACGTCGACGCGAATCATGGAGCGCTCAAAATGTTCTACTACCGAACTCATCACTTTTGTTGTTTATTTGAAGAAATCCGTTGCCGAACCCCACGAACACCTTCAGAGCCTTGTGTTGATGCTTCTCTATTATCATATCCCAAATGTCGGTTTCGTATTTAACCTTTCAAAAGTGGCGACACGAATTCACTCAAAATGCCATTTCTGGACCACTTGTTGCGAGAGTTGTTCAGGATACATTGTTGCAACTCGAATGGGAAGTTCTGATGTACCCAGCATACTCACCAAGTTTGGCGTCCCCTGATTACCACTTGTTCACATCGGTGCAGCATGGCTTCAATGGCGTGCGGGTCCGCAGAGTTGGAAAAGTGCGATAATGGGTCAATAGGTTGCAATGAAAATGATGGAAACTATTTTGATTAGTATATTATTTCCCACAGCAAATGTCTTTTTTAGGTGACAAAGTGATCAATATTTTTGCAAACACCTAACATTTTGTGATAAGTTTATAATTTCCATGCCCTCTTCAGTCCCGGGAATATGAGGAAAGCATCATTGTGCCGACTCTCTCAAAAAAGAAAAAAACACAAACAGTTTAGCTAAGAGATTTGCCTCCGATTTTTATGTGGCGGAATCGTTGGATCTTAATTCTTTGAAAATATAGCGCGAAAACCGATTAAAAATTGACACCAATGGTGTTTGACTTTCAACAACACAGAGCTAATAAAGCACCTGCAACAACTGTGAACTGAAAGTTTTCGATTAATTTCACGAAATCCTGACTTTGAGTGGCCATCTCCTACGTCTTGCGATTTTAAGATTATTTTCTTCGGGTTTTTTTCTTTTGAAAAGCACTGTTTACCAGTATCACCAAGCAGCAATAGTACATTTGAACAAAAATATATGAGATGAACTGAAGGAACTTAAGGAGCTGATGCACAAGAAGTCATTGAAAATTATCTGGTGCTCGTACGCGGGCCTGTAAACGTAGTTGTGATAAGACATTTTTGATATATAATTGTAAAGGAACATATATATTTTACATATATATTTTATTTACTATATTCTAAAAAACACCCTACACACATTTTTTAAAAAACTGTTAATTAGATCATTTAAAATAGAAGAAAAATATGTTCAACTCTGGTGAACGAAACTTGTTCTACCCCTTTTAGAGGTAGGGTCAGCCTACCAAATTACATCAAAGTATGTGGAAAGTTACAATTTGTGTATTGAATTGAAAACACATGGACAGACATTAAATGGGCTTAAATCGATATAGGATTATTTTCTTCTTTATCGATTGAGTGAGTTCATCTCAAATTATTATTTTTGGCTTTGCATACATCCGGGCGTTATTAATATATATATACTGATAAGTGGTGTAGCGTACATCAATAATAAAAAAGAATCTTATTCGACTAAGCAATATACATACTTTGGTTTCTGCTCTTTTACCTCTCTCCCTTTCTCTCTCTCTCTCTCTCTATCTCTCTCTCTACTTTCACTCAAAGCCTAATTACGAGGAGTGAAAACTTGGAGTAATATCGTATTTGTTTGATTTTATATTTAGAGAATTGTATAGGGTATCGCGCGTATCATTTTATACGATTATTATTATAAACTAATATTATTATTATTATCATATATATTTTTAATATTTTATATATAAATCTAACGTGAAGTATTTTTAGTTAAAACATAAATTATTTTGCAAAAAAATTATGTTTTATGTTAAACGTCATGTATGAAAAAATGTGTATATTCTGGTAGCGTACCTTACAATTAATTAATTAGGAATAAATAAAGTTCACAATTATTAAAAACTTATCAAGGGGAAGAGAAATTTGCAAAACAAAATACAAAAAAAAAAAAAAAAATTCAACGAAAACTTAAATATTAAAAAAAGCAATATTCAATAAAAAAAAAAAAAAAATAGAATAGAATAAAAGCATATGGAAAAGTTGCTTGAAAATAGTTCAAATATTCAACAAACTGAAACTAAAGATCGATTAATGAAAAAATCAATACGACACAATGATGAGAGAAACCAAAAATTACAATTTTTTTTTCACTAATATATAGGGGAAATGTTCCCACATATTACAACAACATGTGAATTGCTTAGCTCCATGTTTTGGGTAAACTGAATGGGCCGTAACGTTGATGACAGTCTACGGCTCTCACTGCGAAATAATAGCGTTGACCTTCTTGGAATTGCGTTAGAGTGACCGCCATGGGAAGAAGCATAGCTTTCACGTCGCCTACATGACGCCACGAATCAACAGACGGCGGTCCTGCGGTCTCCTGATAGGCATAAATCTGATAGCTTACACAATCATCATAATGATCAAGTGATTCCTCCATGGTCCACGAAATCACTATCCCGTTATCTAAATTACTAATACGTATGGTAGGCCGAGGCGGTGGTAATTTCCAGCTTGGGTTAAAATTTTGCGGAGGCGTCGTAGGTAAAGGTGCTGGATGACTATATTTTAAACGTTGCTGAGCAGGACTATTTGCAGACATATTTAAACGTGTTATACTTGTGCCGGACGGTGCACTCAGACCAGAGTATATAGAGTTTTTGGCTTTATTTAATAATAAGAAAAAAAGAGCAGAAGCAAATGAATTTTATATAATTGCTATAAATCAATTTCTTTAATAATTATTTAATTACCCGTCGGCATTGGAGCTATTGCCCGCAGCTTATTCGCGGCAATTTGGTTGCTAGGGGTTACACGGGCCAATGGAGGGGCCGGACGGCTGTACGGCATCGGAGTATTAAAGTTACTTTGTGAGGGTAAACTGCGGCGTTGTGATGTAGTGGAAATAACAGCCGAGCCCGTTGGAACTGACGCTGATGGTGCAGGTGGGGCTTCATCTTCATCGGTTAAATCAATAACTGCCTTCTCTTTTGGTTTAGCTGGTGTAATGCTCACTGACGTGTTTGTGCCACTTAAATGATTAATAGAGCTCAGGTAATTTTCCATTACTACTAAAGGCGTCGCAGATGTTGTAGCATTGCTGTTGTTATTAGCTGCAACCATTATATCGGAACGCCTTTGCATAATATCTGCACCTAACGGCTTCGATTGGGTATTAACATTAGGTGTACTTGCACGTTGTCTGCAATATTAGAGATCAAATCGTTTTAATATATTATTTTATTTTTTTTTTTTTTAAAGCAATATAATAATAAATTGTCCAACTTCACTGCTGTAGCTATACCTACCCACTTGCAGGAGGAACAGTACGAATCAGTTGTGGTGGTTGTTGCTGCAACTGCTGTCGTTGTGGGTCTCTCGCCGGCACTGAAAACTGCGATCTTTGCATGGTAGCATTTCCACCGACAGTGCCGCTGCCTGGGTTAACGGTAGCACTTGCGTTGGATCCAATATTTTTATTTAATATTCTTGGCTGAGCCAGTTGATTAGCTGTTGTTGACAGACTATTGGTACGATATACCACGGAATTGGTAGCATTTGATGTGCTACTCGCAGCAGCGCTATTTATAGGACGGGTTGGTGTTATTTTCTGCACACAACCGCGTCGTACATTTACAGGAACTACTGCTGTAGGCATAATATTATTGATACGTGATGAATTTGCTGATAAACTTTCGGAACCAGATACATTGTGAGCAATGGGTCTTTGCGGTGTCACCAATTGCTGAGCCAAAGGTCCTTGGGGACGTTGCGGCGAAATTTGCGTGCTACTGCTACCTGTTTCGGCTAATGGTTTCTTATTCGGAATATATACCTGAAGACCGACCGCCCGTGTGATTTTCACCGGCATTATAAACTGAGAATTACGCTGTTCAATATCTTTTACCACACGACTGTGCACCATTTCGAGATCACGAAATTGTTTCGTTAGCTCGGTAAGCTTATTACGTTGGCTGCAAATAATTTTCTCTTGTTTTTCGACCAAATCACGCATATCGGCAAATTCGCTTTTGTGAATGATTGCTTCAACCAATTTTTGTAAAACTAATTCTTCGAGATCCTGTTTAGTCATTTTATTAAAAGATTTATGGAATTTTTTGTAAAAGTCCAAGCTAAGCTTATATTCTTTAGAATTCACCGTCTCATCGAATATAGGAGGGGGATAAAGTGGAATGGGTGTATCAGACGGCACGAATTTTAATGAACCGCTTAATTTTACAGAGCTTTTCTCTTCGCTCGTAGCAGGAGATGAGATTGGTTCTTGTTTGGGTGGCGTTTCGGCTCTTTTAAACTTTTTACATTGATCTAAATTTTCAGGTACATCATCGCCTTCTATTTCAATAACATCGTGTGAACGTTTAACTGCAACAACTGACCCTTCCACTTTCTCTTCTTTAGGATTTACCGCGATTGATTCTTTTTCGGGTTCGGTCTTCGTAGCAGTTTTATCCTCGTCTTGCGTTTCTGTGGACTCTAGACGTTCGGCGTTTAGACTTTCAGTATTAGTGGATTCCTCATTTTCCTGATTTAATCTTACACGCTTCGAAGCCGGTTCATCCTCATTTCTCTCTTCCCCGCCTTCTACTTTCAGCTCACTTTCTACAATTTCCAAGTCTGCGTCATTATCATCATTATCGTCGTCGTCTTCGTTTTCGTTGTCAGCCTCGGCTAATGAAGGATCCTCACTAGCACCTTCTACGGGCTTCGCTTCTTGCAACAAATTACTGCTGCTACTGCAGTTGCTAGTTATTTCGTCAGCGTCTGCGACGGGAGTACTACATTTTTCCTCTACAGACTTTTCGCTATTAAAATCATCACGAGCATTGTCTGAATTATCCGGTTGTAGTGACGTTTTCGACTGATCGTTCGGCTCCTGATTAAGTGTTTTGTTTTCTTCTGATGAATTTTTCGTAGTCCCAGCAACAACAGGATCCAAAGTTTGCTTCGATTTGACTTCACCATCTTTGACAATTTTATCTTTGTTTGTTTCATCTTCCTCTTCCTCGTCATCTAAAACGACTACATCTTCTACATTTTCATTGCAGTTGGAGATCTTTTCATTTGTGGAGATTTCCGTCAATGTCTCAGACTTATCCTGATCCTTCCCTACAGTTTTCTCCGGTTGTAGAGATTTTTTCCCTTCAGTAGTTGATCCATCATCTGTCTCAATTAATGACTCGTCTGACTTTTCCACAAAAAATTCAATTTCATCATCAGAGCCTTCATGATCTGTTTTGTTAACTGAGGGCTCCTTTTGTGCGGCATTATCAGGAGGCGCCTTCTTTCTATTTTTTTCTCCTTCTGTTTTAAACTCCTGCTGTTCTGCCTGTGTCTCTTTGGGCTGATGGCACCGAAGCTCGTCATCTAAACAGAGTGCAGGCATTTTCCCATCTTTTTCAGCGCAGTTCACTTCAACTGTTTCTTTAGTGTTTTCCTTCGCTGCGTCTTTATTCGATTCCACCGTTATTATTACGGCACTTTCCGCTTTACCTACAGAAGTTTCAATGTCTTTTGTTACTTTTTGTCCTTCTTCAGTCTTATTTTCTTTAATAATCTCGGGAGTCGGTTTTTTCTCGGCTGCAGAGTTTTCTTCAATTACAGTCAAATCTTTTGTAGTATTTAACGGGCTTTTGTCAATACGGACAACCGAATTATCATTACTCTTATCCTGAACTAAGGTTAGATTTTCTTTCGTAGCAACCTCATCAATTAGGGAAGAAGAGCTCGCGACAACCGCTTCTTCGGTGGTTTCTACGATCTCATCTACCAGTGTCAGGTTCTTTTGACTTTGTTCGGGTGATTTAATTAAATTCTCAGATGGGGGGCCATTAACAACTTCAATTTCACCTGTCTGCGATATCACCTCTTCTACTCTTTGCGCTTTATCAATTTCGATTTCCAATTTGTATTTTGTTTTTGTATCAATTTCTTGAATTATTTCCTTATCCTTTTTGTTTGCAAATATTTCCGGCTTAACAGTGATGCTTTTTTCCACGTGGTTTTCTTTTTCTATAGACAAGATAATTTTCTCAGTGGATCGTTTCTCCTCTTCTCCCTGTTCTTTAAGCTCGGCATTCTTTACTGGATCATCTTGAACTATATCATTAATTTTTGATAGCAAAGTGTCGAGATCATCACCCACATTTCTTTCATCATTGGTGGAGCTTATAATAGAAGTTAACGAATCTAACTTATCACTGTTTACAATTGTTGGATTGGGGGCAACAACTGTTGCGCCAATATTATCTGACGAACTAACAACATCATCACCCGCCAATAAAACATCTTCTAACTCTGCACTAACCGGTACATCTAAATCGTTATCGATACCAATTAGAGAGGAAACCACATCATCAGTAATCGGAGAAGATTTTTCTAAGAGTTGAAAAAATATAAGTCGTACATAAGCTTCTCGGATCCGATAAGATTTCTCTTAATCCCAATGACTTACCACTGGCGGTTGCTATTAAATGGTTTTCCAAATTATTTAAGGTCAAGTCAGTCATAACTGAATCGCCATCATTTACACTAGTGTTAACATCGCTTTTACTGGTTGACATCAAATCATTAAAATCCATTGATGTATTTTGTTTAATTTCCATCATTTTGTTTAAGACTTTTTTTTTCTTTTTTTTTTTTTTTTATTATAGTCTCTTCAGTTTATCACGCATTCATATATATAAACGAACAAGCAATTAGTTGAGCGTATAAGAGTTTGTGCAACTCTGCAATAAGAAAAAATTTCATTCATTATTGGGTTTGCTTAAAAATCGCTTAAATTATTACACATCATTAGCATCATCTTCAATCATCTTCTGACGAGTTCACTGAACATACGCTTTAAACGGCATATGCAAATTTTACAATTTCACTTGTACATGTCACCTATTTGACAAAATCATCAACTAAGGAACATATTATACCGATTACACTTTCTGAATTTCAATATAAAACCAATATACTGTAATTCTTCACTTGTTTTTCAATAAAGCCGCTTTATATTTATCGACAGTGCACAGTATCAATAGTTGAAAGATACTTTGAAAGTTAGTTAACTCAAGGGTAATGAGAATTATAATAGATTTTATGGACCTTCCTCTGCTTTTGAATCTAACCATTATTCCCAAAATAAGCAGATTTGGAAACTATTTTTTATTCGCAAACGTAACTCCCCCAAGACCTACTACTTTCAAACATATTATATATTTAATTCCTTCCTTATATATATTCTTCATATCTTTTGATTTCAATTTTTTAACATTTCAACAGCATTCTAAAATTGTTTAATCGATTCAATAATTGATTTGATTGCTTCATTTTTCTAGACTACTATTAATAGCTAAGATTAGTATTTCCAACAAATTCGAAAAATAGGTGGTACCGATGGAAATAAAAAATGGGAATAATAAAATTTAAGAAAAGTAAGTAAAAAATAAAAATGAACATTTATGTATACATCTATAGATGTATAAATATACACTGAATTCTTCATATAAGTAATATATAAGTAATTAATTGTACATACAAACATATATATACGTAAGTATATAGGTATATACGTATATGTATATATACACATATGATATATATATATGCATATATATTTTGTATACGTAGGTATATATGTGTATAAAGCACATATATACATATATACATATGGATAAATGTGTATACGTCTGTACACACATACATACATACATACATACATACATACATACAAACATACATACATATACATGTATATATGTATATTTATATACAGTATAAATATTCGTATATATATGTATATACACATATATACATACACATACACGTATATATATACACATATGCACATATAGGAATACATGTGTTATATATATATACAGCATAGATATTAGTACATATATGTATGTATATACACATATATACATACACATACACGTATATATATACACATATGTACATATAGGTATGTATGTGTTATATATGTATATATATATTTATATATAGATATACATATACAGAATAGTACATACGCACATCTACATATATATATGTATACATGTAAATCGGATTTAACTCCGATTTGTAGAAAGACGGGAATGTCTGAACTTTTTACATTCTTTTTTTTGCTTTTTCTTTTCTTGATAACCTAACCTCAAAATACTTATAGAAATACGTATAGAAACATTTGCTTTATTAATCAATTTGACTTTACAGTGTTCCCAATGCAAACAAGCAACTATATATGCGTGTAATAAATTATTAACGTAACTGCGAAATCTTACTAAAGGATCATTGTGGAAAAGCCAGAAAATTCTTCATTTAAGGAATAGAATGTAAATTAAAATAATTACATTATTATCTTAAAACAAGATGGCGCTACCTGTCAGTACAAGCATTAAAAGGAGAAAGAGAATGCTGATAGAGATAGAGAGCAAAATGAATAAAAAGAGACTAATAAAGTAAGTCGCAACAAAGCAATCTTATTATATAACCTTAAATAAGTAGAAGAGTGAATAGAGAAAAAAATCGGAGATATATACTTACATATATATATATATATATATATATATGATCGACCGATTTTCTTGATTTACTGACGTAGAAGGCAAAACGCTTACAGCCAGGCCATACGTAAAACCAGAAAAACAATATAAACCAAAACGCGACCGTACGTAAACACGTGAAACACAGAACTGAACAACAACTACAGAGACACGAATGATACTGCCTTAGTATAATTTCGTTTATATACTTTTTAACGTTCGGGTTTGAAAAATAAGTTCAGACTGTACAAACGAAAGAAACGAAAGATGACAAAAGAAGGAAGGGAAGAGGGTAAGAGAGGAACATATGAAGAACACTAAACGGATAGGTCGAAAAAGGTCCGTATATTTAAGGCAACTCTATCTAAATATGTTAAAAGTTAAAGTTAAGGCGTTTTTGGTTGACAAGGGGAGAGAAGAGGCTTAGAGGACGACGGATACTTGTATGCGGTCATATAGGCTAGTATTGATAAATGGACGTATATACAAAAAAGAAACTCTTCTTTTTTTATTATTGTGACCTTAATGTATAAGAGTCGTTGTTTTTGTTGTTTTACAGAAGAAGAAGAAATCATTGCGGAATACCGCCCAATATACAAAACAAGAAAAACATTTTTTTTTTATGTTAACTTTTGAAGATAAGGCTGTTCTACTCCTTAACGGTCCTCAAATTAATTAGGGGCTCAAAATGATTTTTACCTTAGACGCTGATTAAATAAATTCAATCACTTTTTCTTAATTGCAAAAGTATATAAAAAACGATTAACAGGTTCCACAAAATCTCTATAAAGTGGAAGCTATATACGTGGATGCTATTTAGTAAAAACGAAAGCGTGCACGTATGCATGCACACATATTCAAGCACAAACAAATCGACTTTGGTATCTATCTGAAAAATTTTGCCAATATTCAGATACTTTCTTCAGATATTTTAAAACTTGTAAAATATAAAAAGAAGACAAGAAGAAAGCAAATCAAATCAATACATGAATGAAACCTTAACCTTACACTCGTTAAGATTCTAAAGCCTTGCAATTAAATATATACAGATATATATTTATATATATATGCTTGCTCAGATAAAAAGTATCTACTTACAAGTCCCTCTCGTGTCCGAGCGTATTACGTTTTGGTTGGCAATATGTAAGCGAAAGAAATTTAATATAGTTTACTGAAACAGTTCTGAAATATGTAAAATAAAAGCAAATTATCCACGTAAGAGTCATAAACAATGCCTAAGCAAATGCAAAAAGTTATAACCATAAAGCATTTTTTTTTAATGAGTTTTATAAGCGTAAAGCTTTGATGGGTAGTTTTGAATTTTTATTTTTTCAATTTTTTTTATTTATTTACTTTTTTTTTTTATTATTATTATTTTTATTAAAATTTTTTTTTGAAATATATTTGTCTTTCTTTTTTCTTTCGATAGCTTAATCAGCCAGATGGATGTGGAACATAAATTAGTAACATATCCAGACATGGGTGTACTTTGTATAGTATACATACACAAAGCAAGACGCCAAGAGCTTCATATTTTTGTGTGGTTTGAGTAAAAATCTATACTAGTTTTACAAACTAACTAAGAAAAGAAAAAAAAACAAAAGATTGAATATTTTGTGCCCCTCTCTCGACTATCAAAAGCTAGGTCCATTAGGATATCTTTAAATTTTTGAAAGCATTCTAGAAGAAATATTAATCATTAACAGTAATTATTATCTAATCGGATTTATGGATAAGATTGAAAGAGCGTATGAGAGGGATAGGAATATATTTGTATATGTATCCATGCAAACACATATGAATAATGTATTCAGAAAAAATTTTGATGTACAAAGGGAATCAAAGTTGGAAATTTATTTCCATCTACTGTTGTAGAGCAAAAATAAATTTTTAAATTTTGTGTTGTAAAGTTACCTCCTATATATATATATAGATTTTTTCTATTATTATATTATATATATTTATATTTGAACTCTTAGTTCAAATTAATTCTCTCTTTCTCATATTTGCATTGTCGCACTATGGCCCGCCTAACTGTTATGCGTATAAGTGTAAGAAAAATTAAATCGTATTGACAACAACAAGCTATCAGGCCGGTGATTTATAGTTCATTCGTTCAGCTCTGCACTCTATTAACAAGTAAGAAGGTTAAATTCGCAGTAACCGAATATCCGATTGTTCGAATTCCGAAGTTTGGTGTTGATCAGCGCACCAATGAATGCTAGTATATAGAATGCCAGATATAAATAAATATATATATATATATATATATATATATCTTTCGTAGAAATATCTTCGACCCAAAAAAGGGGTACAGCGGGTCAATTAATGCTAATATACAAGAAGCCACATATAAATATACATATGTACGTATATGTAACAACTCTGGGCAAAGAAAGAGGATCAGGAGATCAATCATCGCTTAGGATAGAATTTACATATATGTGAATATGAATAATAGTGATTTGCGCTAATGCAGCGCTTCACGGATACCTCCCGCATCTGAAAGGGGAAGATCAAATGCGATAATTATTCACTCTATTCTTAAATAATTTTATTTACCTTCTTATTCGACTTAAGACATGAATATTTATTGCTGAGATTTCGTAAGACAAGAATTGAAAAATTGAAAATTTCCCAACAAAATTAAGGTAATTTGATCCAAAATTATCTTGACATTAGTTGAAAACGAGTGAATTCAGTTCCGAAGAATTATTTTTATTTGGCATTCAAAAACCACATCTATATTTAGCGACTGCCGACTTTTGCGAATATTCATTCGCATACCTGAAAATTCAGAGTGAAAATGGAACTAATCCACACTCTACTAGTCACAAGCCCTTAAAAGGCATATGATAGAAATAAATTCGAAAACTAAAAACAATGATGAGCACTACCAACTAAGATGATCGGCTGTTCTTCTTTTTCTTTTTTTTCTAAATGTCGAGTAGATAGTGAGTTTAGCGTACAACGCTTATATATTAAGCTCTGATGTCCGTAAGGTGGAAATACGTTTCTTCATCGAATAAGTGCTACGAAGAAATAAAGATCATAAAGGTCATAATCCTTACCAATGAATCGATATAAAGCATAGAATGATGATGACGCCGAAAATCCTTTGCCAATTGAATAAGATAATGCCATTCAACATAGCACAATCAATACTCCTTGCTTTGAGATCTACAAATCTACTTGAAGTTCAGGTCTACTCAAGTTCAGTTGAGGAAAATTTGAGCGCGACTTTATTAAGCAGGGTACTTAAGACTTAAGTATTAAGTCGCTTTGATTTAAAAACGGCCAGAGTCTTAGAACCTGTTCATATTTTGGCAGCAACCAGCATCAATGTGAAGGATTAATATTTCCTCAAGATTTACCAAGAAACATTTTTATAAAGAGTTTGAAACTATTTGCCGCCGCCTCTTCAGCCTAAGGGAAATTCGTTTGAACTTAAAAAAAAAAAAAAAAATCGAAATTTTGGCACGCGTTATTTCAGTATGACATGACAGCCCCGTGTTAAACCAGTTTAATGCAAAACTATTTGGAGGCACAATAAACGATTAAAATATTTAGGAGATATGCGTAAATATAAGTGTTTAGAATTTTTTAACCAATAAGTTTTGATGAAAGTTCATATAAATTTTATATATATATATATATATATATATCGGACAGAAGAGATGCTTTATTTACATACTTGAAACAATTTTATTCTAAGAGGAGTCTATGTCTAAATCACTTATATGTAGAAAAAACCCGAAAAAGCAGAATTAAAGCCTCCGGTATTTTTGAGGTAAACTACTTTTGTGTTTCCAAACAATTTACAAAGCCAACGCCTTAAATATTAATAATAATCAGAGAGCTCACGAAGATATTGCCGAGGCAGCAAGCTACAGCCATTTTTAAGTGACGCCATAACCTCAAACCTTATATATGTAGATATATACATTAAAAAAAATATGTATATATATATATATATATATATATATATGAGTGCACATCTCCATGTCACATATATACGGATGACTCGTGTACATACAACATGTATGTGTGTTTTCCTATATTCGATTAGATATTTATATATATATATATAACATGTAAGCGTATATAACCGTAGACTTTGCCAAACAAAATCATCCGATTTTCTCAAATGTCCGCGTTAACGAATACGATCCACAATGGAATTTCTAACCAAATCGGATACGAACGACTATACTTTAGGTTAAATATTTCCTAATTACAAATATTCATTTATTTTTTTCCAATTTTTTACTTACTTTGGGAGGTCTACTATCTGCCTTTTCTTTCTCTCTCTCACTTTTCACTTTTTACTCTTGCAATCGCTGTTGCACAAAGTTTCGTTTTTATAATTATGTGTACTACGCGTCACTTTTGACGAACTAACAATTTTTATTGCAACAAGGAGAGCTTTTTCTACAGGTTTCTATAGATATATATAATTAATACAATTTTTTTTTTTTTTTTTTTTTTTGGGTTTGATGGATAAAGCCTAGCTATGCGCATAGTTTTTTCATTTCCTATTAAAAACAAATTCTATGAAATCTGTAAATGTTATGTTTCTAAAAACCTTTTCATATTAATATAAAGGAATAAAGGTCCACCTTTATCTGTTATAAGTAGGCAGGAATATCAAAACGAAATTAATTGTTTCTTTTGACAAAGGCGAGATGCAGAAAAAAAAAGAATAATATAATGAATAAGACGACGACTCTTTGCAAGCAGAACGAAGAGAATCGCATGCATATCAGTGATTGTTTCTTTTGCGTAGAAAACAAACGAAAAATCTGGACCGAAAGCATAAATAGAATCATAGTAAATATCATATCACGCAGGCAAATAAACGATGAAATTGTATTAATGGTTTTCTGGTATCTAGGCATCTATTTAATAAAGCGGAATGTATCTTCTTCAGAAGAAGGAATCCAAAAGATATAAAAGCAAAAAAAAAAAAAAAAAAAAAAAAATGTATAAACACCAGTCAAAAAATCTAGGGCTTTAACAAATCATAAGCTAGAAAAGGACAACCATATAATACCTTCTTGAACGAACGGCGAAATGACGAAAAGACATAAAATCCACAATAATTATAAATTAAAAATTTGCTAAAAACCTCAAGACAAATGGGGCCAAACATATATACATCACATCATATAAGATTGGTGCTATTAATTACAATCAGAGATGTAAAAACAAAGGAAACCTACAAAATAAGACAAATAACTGCAAATTTTCGATAATAATAAGAAGAATTTTGGAAAATTTTGCTTTATTTGGATTAATACTAGATCGGTCGGTGTAAGAGTAATATCAATAAGTTAAACATTAAAGCTGTAGAATAAGGCAATCAAAGTGTAATAAAGAAAAAGAAGAACAGGATGTAAGAGAGAGTGTAGATAGAAATGAGAGAACTAAATAAGTATACGAAGTGAAACTTTTTTTTATAAATATTGTTGTTTAACAATAATATGAAAATAGATACAGAATCCGCATTAAACAATTTTCAGATACATATTTAGCCCATACACGCTTGTATATGTAGGAAAGTAAATATACAAACAAAGTTAAGCAGGCATCGTCACCTAGGGTTATAAACGCCATTTTGTTGCATACGATTTTAATGATTTATATACTGATTATAGTTTTTATACATTAAAACTTCTTTTTTCTTTTTTAGACCACCCCTTTGCTTTCAAAGTGGAAGCCACGATGTATATAAATCAATACATATAGGCGTATGAGAAAGTTGAGGTTAGGTGTTGTAGTTACGTAAGCATGTTCATTCAATATGTTTCTATCTAAAATTTGAATAAATACATATTAATGATATTAGGCAAGCAATTCGTGGTTTGCGGGCTTAGAAGCAAGGTTTCTTTATTACACATTTAAACGGACTGTTGATCTTAGACAAATTTTAGTAAAAAAAAGGAGTTTCCTGTAGCGTTTACTTTCATTTGTTAAATATATTCTATAAGTGTTTGCAATATTTGATATCAAATGTATCTTTTTCTATATATAATGCGATAATTACAACGGCCAATGTGACATTATAGAGCTACCATCGTAGTAACAATCCCACAAGACAACAAAACTGCTTAAACGAATACAATTCTACATAAAGATGTTTAATTTGAAGAGATCAGTAAAGCACCCTACACCGCACATATATCATAGACACGATCGACGTTGATCGATACGCATGAAAATAAAGTAAATTGTATTCACTATATTCACTATATATACGATTCACGAAATATATATGATTATAAAACGTACTTTCTTCTATATTATAACTGCATGGAATCTTCTTCTATTCATCGGAAGCAGCACATTGAACTCGCGGTGATGGGCAACGAACTTAACATTCCCCCAAAATTTACTTAAGACTAAGCAATAAGATTCTTATCTCAAAGATTTGCACCGCAAGCGTGGGACCGCGTTGCGAGCTCTACGATTTACCACATTCTCTCTAAACATAATTTATAAGTTATAAGACTTACAAGAAGTACTCTGCATAGGCAAAGGCATTCATATTCTCAATCTTTATAAGCATACTTAATTATATGACTATACTTTATATGAATTCATGTTTGGTCAACCGTTTCAACAATTTAGAAGCAAGTTAAATCTTGTACAACGTTGATTACATTTATCTTTGCATTTAAACTTAGGCAACCCTAATTAATAACAAATCAAAAACAACAAAACACTTCGCATATATTAATTTTTTTTTTTTTTCTATACTATTTTAAACAAAACTTACCTTACTTAATAGCCGTAACGATTTCAGTTAAACATTTCTTGATTTCAACCACTATTCATTTTTTATATTTTTCTTTTTGTTATTAGTGGGAGTGCAAGATTTGCCTTATTCCATTTTATTTGAAAAACTTTTCATTTTCGTTTTATTTTTCTTTTTAATAACCAAGCACGATAATAATTCATTTTAGTTAAGCCAAAAATAAATAGAGTTGCTTTTTAAATAATTTCGTTATTTTGAAAGAATTTTTTTCGCAAATTTCCTAATAAAATAAACTCCTTCACCATCCGCAACACTACCACATCGCACAACAACAAAAACTAACTTTAAAAGAAATTAACAACAGCGTTCATAATAACAATATTACCGGATTTCACGAAAAAGCTGATTAAAAGAAATTTACGATATTGGGAAAAACATAAATCTGTTTACTTCAAAGAAAATTTATTTATTACAATTTATAAACCAATGATCAATAATGGTTTTGCATATCACACTTAGACTCTAATTGTCTTCTATTATATTAATGTAAAAGAAATTTTGGAATTATAAAAGAAAAAAGTTGCCAATTAAAAGTTTTGTGTGCTTTAAAACAGCTGTTCCTTATTCAACTTTTTATGTAGGTTAGGTTTAAATTGTTAAATAAAGTAATAAAAAAGTGAAATGAGTTATTTATTAAATTTAATAGTAAAAACAGCAGAGATTCGTTTTATTCCACTACCTAAAATAAGAGGACTCTCAATTATACCCGCGTTACGACAGTTCAATGTAGTTGGAAGAAGTGCAACTCGTTTATCAAAACCGACAATACCTACTATTCTCAAAAACAATCAAAATTTTTGCACCAGAGTCTATGATGTAAACACCAATGTTTCCAAAGACGTCGTACTGTATAAATACGAGAATCCGCGATTCTATAAAATCCTTAATCTCTTCGGAATAAGTCAGTTCATATTTTGGACTTATTTGTCACATTTTGCTTTTACTTCTTTGAAAGATGCACCGGTAGAACAAAAGGGCTATGTAGACTTGGCTTGGTATGAACGCATTAATTTAGGAGAAAATAAATATCGCAACGGCATAAGTATTATGTGCTTTGTAATAGGTAAGTTTCTAATAATATTTCTCAACACAGTCAGATTGGAATTTCTTAATTTTTGATATCTTCAGGCTATGGTTTGTTATTCACTGTTTGGATGTTTACTTTACGTTCGGTACGCTTCTTGATTTTACGTAAAGGCGGTAAAGATGTCGCTCTTGTAACGTACGGACCTTTTGGTCATAATCGCATCATGGACGTCCCACTGAAAAATATCTCAGCACAACAGTCAAGAGAGACTGCCGCAGTTCACCTTCCTCTTAAAGTTCGTAATCGTTCCTTATTTTATGTTTTAGATATGAGGGGAGAGTTTAAAAATCCGAAACTTTATGATTATACAGCAGGTTTGAACAGGCGTTTTTGAAAGAATTAAATAAAGAAAATACAGTTTATTTGATAGAGAGTACTATTTCTATTTTGTCGCATTTCGTCTGCGAATTAAAATAATTTAATAGATGGGTTCAGGTCTCTGTGTTAGAAGTAAACCAAAACGCTTCTTTATTGTTAAGCGATGTCTAGAATATTTATCTTCTGGAGAAAAACGTGCTGGATGTGCAGAAATTGTGGGTCTTCCATCTTCAGTGCGTTTCTGCAATCAAAGTGTGTGAGAGTAAACGGTACGTTTTTAAAGTGAATTTTAATGGAAATACTTACCTTCAAGGTGTAAACACGTTCACCTTGCTCATTCAAAGTGTACATTAGATACATTTTAAAGTAATTTTATTTATTTTAACTTATAAAACTCTTTAAAACAAGCACGTGCAAATTAATTTCGATCAAAAACAAATGATGCTGCCTATTATTCCTCTCAAACAAATATTAGAATACGCAGCAACAACTTTACACGGCTTTAGATGTTAAACAAAACTCTTCTTCTTCTTCTGCAAGTAAGCAAATTAAAAGAATATAACACCCCGCAATGCTGCCCAGTGAGTCAAACAATTATCGATTAAACCAATCGATAAATTTTAGCAAAAATGTGCGGTCATCGAAAACACAACATATTTTTTTGATTTAAGTGTGCAAAACTATAAACAATAACAAATCAAACAATATTTAAATAGTTCGATGATATATTTCCATTATAACAATTGTTTATTGTGAAGATTTATTTGATAATGACTTCAAATGATAAGTTATTGAAAAAAGCTATAAGAGATCAACAGAAACGCTTAAAACCGGGTGAATGTCTCAAATATGTCCGCTTAGTCTTAGATATACATCTTATATCAACTTCGTTTGGTCAGAGTTTGTTAAGAACATTACGCGAAAGTTTAGATTTAAAATATGAGCTCAGGAATTTACCGGTTAAACAATGCATAGTATGGGAGCGCAGTGCCGGGCAATTAATTCTCGACCCAGAAGAAGTTAAAGGCCTGAGTGAGGAATGGCAATTAGAAGAGCACATAGCAAGAATCCTAACACATGGCGAGTTGAAGCATTTAATTAAAATGGATCTTTTGGAGAAATACAGTAATGAACTAAAGTATAATTACCCGGGAAAGCAACATATTATTTTATATTTAAAGCCAACGGAGAAGCCATCTCATCGAGAAACTCAAGCGTTATTAGAATTACAAATATTACATCAACTAAAAGTTTACGAAGTGCCCAAAGATATGACGGAACTCGTAAAGGAATTGCAGCGTTTAAGCAAAGCTATAGCTGAAGCGCCTTATAAAAAACAAAAAAACGAACCCTTGAGTGGATTTAAAAAGTTCTTAGCAAACGATAAGAAGCAATGCGTACAAATAGAAGGCTGCAATGGTTTTCGACGTTTATTTCAGCAACATTTAAATCGTTTACCTTTAGTAACTTTGGAAGTAGCCGAGACAATTATTGAGAAGTATAGTTGCCCAAAAACGTTAATGGAAGATCTTGCTAACAATCCCGATGCGGTTAAGGAACTTGCTGATTTGAAGATTAAACGTAGCGGTCTGCAAGCTTTACAAACCGACAGGCGCATCGGCCAAGTTCTAGCAAGCAAATTACAGTTGTTATACACGACCCATAATCCAGATACTTTAATTTAGGTCCCTTTTTATTTATTTTGAAAATATTTTTTATTTCATTCAACTACTTTTATTATTGATAATATTTTTTCCTTTTTTGTTATTTAGAATTAATTGAAAAATATATGATAAACTATTTAAAATGTTTTAAGAAAAGAAATCACGTTTACGCGTTTAATTTTTATTTAATTCATTTATTTATGTATAAAGTAATTTTGCTAATTTTTGTTTATTCGTTTTCATTAATTTAAATTAATTCCCAGTTTTTTACTCATCGAATTTATACGATTTTTATAATGTTTTTGTTTATCTAATATCTAAAATCTAAATAAAAAAAAATGAAAACAAAAAAAAAGATTGACGGGAGAAATAAAAACTTTTTTTTTATTTATTTAATTGTGTTGTTTTTGCGAGTAAGAAGAACGATTTAATGTAACTTGTTTGAATACCTAAATTTTAATACTGATATGATAGGATATTGTTACCCAAACAATGCAGCCCGATATGAAACTTTATAAAGAGTGAATACAATGAATATCCCACTAAAGGTCAGGAAAAAACTTTCAAATTAAATAAATGGAAATAAATATGCGAGGGTATGCCACGTTCGATTTTAATACGCATTTTACAAACTAAGTCAAATTTATATATAGTTGAGTGTCATCTGCAAAAGATATCTGTCGTAATTGTAGACTTTAACAACCCGATGTTGGCTAGATCCATATGAATAGCTAAGAGTAAATAAAAATCGCGACTACTAAGTCAGTGTTCGCGGATTGAAATCTCAGTGCGGCAATCTCCTCTTCATTAGGCTGCCCTCCCACCACCTCCCTATCTCTTCCTGTCTTTAATTTTTTTCATGGCTTTCTAGCCCTCACCGTGCTGCGCAAGTGAGCACATCATAGTCCGGCAGGGCCGACCCTTCAGTACCCTACACCACATTGTGTAACACAATGTTATGTGTCAATTTTCATCAATATATATTAAAACTTCAACCTTTCTGCTCTGTAAAGCATAAATTTTTGTGAAAATCCTTGTTAATGTCGGATCCAAAAAATAAGTCGAGATATGATCTAAATTTGGTAATTTATCTATCCGTCGTAAGAATTTTAGTTTTTGTTGCAGGAGAGCGTTCAAAAATTCCTGTAGCCGGTCCAATATTTTTACAGCAATTTAGAATGACGATATACTACTACTTAGCCACTTTTACTGAGAAATTTTGAAAATTATAATTTTCTTCCGTATAACGACTTTTCAGAATAGGGCGTTATATGGGGAGTGGTCGAAAAAGTAGATCGATCCGCAACATTTTCGATGGCGTTCGTCCTTGAGTCAAAACACGTCACTTCACTGAATTTCATCCAAATATCTCCAAAATTGCGACCTGTAGCACAATTTTATATGAACAGACATCGGACAGACAAACGGACTGCCAAGCTTTAGTCAATTCACATTATGATTCTGAATTGATCGGTATTATAAAACGTGGATCTATTTTATTGCGCTTTACATACGCACGCACTAACTTAATATATACAATGGTGTAGGGTATGAAATGAAACGACAGGATCAGAATTTCGACGCTAGTGAAACGTGTACACATTTCGTCTGCAATTTAATGTGAGCCTCATTTATCTCAGTGAATAGAAAGAAAATTTTTCTGATTTTTTTAAATCAATGACGAATGAAGCGTTCTCTCAGATATCTAATCAGAATTTCTATATATCTTGTAAATTAACTTTTTGACTTTCATTTGAAATGTATTTGCAAACACCGTAAGCCCCCACCATCTTAGCTGTCATATTTTCTTCGAAATCGATTTATCTTCACAATCTTCGCATAATATATATGTATATAACTGTGAGCGGCCATGTCTTCATCATTAATCTTCGAAATATTTACGTTAATGATTTTTTGTAAAGTGAACTAAAAGCTAAACTAGTCGAAAGACTAGACTGAAGGAAGACCTTCAGGCCATCGCCTGGTATATGTACATATATATACTAAATAAATTATGGACTTATTGACTATCTAATTATTTTTTGCTTTAAATTATACGCCGACTTTTGTCATTAGTTGCATAGCTTATAACGTATATATTTTGAGATTTTTGGAATGTTCTGAAGTCCAATTTCCCAGCTATTGATAGTTTTTAAATTTAAAGTGAGAAGCAAATTTGTTATTTTAACTTAACATTAATTTCATTACGACTATATCAATTGACCGATCTTATGGCTATCAGTTCAACATTGCTTGATTACGTATTAGGATTAAGGGGCGAGGATAATTTTTATCTTGATCACTGGCCATTAACCAAGATCGTACGGGATCTAAGGCCGAGGAATAGTGTGTATGCCTTATAAGATTCGCAAAATCTAGGTATGGAAGAACATGAAGTCTTGTTCAAGGCCGTAAGTCCTTTTTTGGCTCTGATATTTTATGTTAGCTTACAAAGTAAACACTTTCCACCTCTACCTTTATGCAAACTATATAATGCACTCGGGATCCAGTAGCATATTAAATTTGAACAGAGGTATGCAACATCGAGGACTTAAGGCAGACCCACCCTTTACTAATTATTTTTACATCGAACTAAGCTTATCTTTTTGTCTGTCGTCTTGTCTTGTGTTCAATCTACTGCAACTTTTGAGATATTTTGAAGAAATTTTGTAAACCGACTTGTTTTTGCCCAAGGATGAACACTGTTGAAAATAGTTCAGATGGGACTACTCTTTCGATCACACTCCATATAACTCCCTGTTAATACACGAATAGCAGTAGGGTGTTGTAGGGTATTTAATGGTGGGCCCTAAAGAGTTCATATGTATTTAATGTGGTTCAGCTTGGAAACGTAGATTATTAAAGCAAACATATGCCTTTCGAAGAGACTGATTCCCAGCTCGGCAAATAAAAGTTTATTGTAATTAATGAGAAAGATTTTACATCAATAAAGTAATCGCATGAGACAAAAATATTTTTGACGATTGTTCTAATTGAGATTTTATTGTAGAAGGAGTTCGGAATTAATAATAATAAAAAAAAGATTCTCTTTTCTATTATAACTATATTGAATGTTTTATTCCTCAGATTTATTTATGTATATATATATATACTGCGTGTATATGTATGCATATATATATATATACTGGTAGTGGATACTTCAACTCACATATTAACTCTTAATTAATCTCTTTAATTGTTTTCTCATTTATTCAAGACTTCTTTTGATAGTATTTTATCAGAGATAAAAGACATCATTAATCATAAAAAAAAGAATAATTAGATTAATGATCTTTTATAATAACTACGTAATGAGATTATGAACAATAGATTGGCATGTATGTGTATATGAGTGTATTTATAAGAATTTTCTACACTTATTAAACAATTTTAGAATAATTTTCTTTTTATTATTTATGTATAAATGTTTTCCCATTTGTTTTACTTTTACTTTTCGTGCAGCAACGAACTTATATGTTTATATACGTGTATGTACTCATGTGTGAATGTATAATTTTAGTTAAAGCTTATACTTAATAATAATAATAATAATAATAAAAAGCGGTATTCTAAAATATACATATATATGTGATGAAAATGATTCTCCGTTCATTTAGAGAAAGAATTTGCCTTTGTAGACTTATCATAACTATTATACAACAAAGGAAGGAATACGAAGGAGGAACGATAACAAACAAAACGAAGAAAAACAATAAAATGAACGTAAAACAATGTTTTACAGCGTAGCCAGTATTCGTGTAAAACCTAGGCAGGCCGAAACGATTGTTTGACCCATACCCCAGATCATGGCAATAATAGGAGACATGGGTAAGCTAGAGGCACGATGCACAAATGCTATAACGGCACTACTGATAATGCCGCTAACAGCGGGCGATAGAAAGCCCATTACTAATATCAATATGGAGAAGAAGCGACCGAATTTATGTTTGCGTAGCGTTACAAAGGCTACCAAAGCGGCACAAGTGTGTATGAATATTGAAGAGAATAATGCCCATAAGAATATGTGATACCACATTTCACGAAATGTGTTGAGAGGCTTCTGGGCACGAAGACCCATAACATCTGCAATGGTGTCCAACTCATCGGAATCATCGAGGTCAGACAACATTACAAATTGCCTTTGCTTGAATGATGCTTTTGATGGTGAATAGTAAAATGTTTGCGTTAGTAGTGACAACAGTTTGGCGGTTAATGATGAATTTGCGGTATTTGTGATGGAGGTGGTGGTGATAGTTGTTAATGAACAGGTAAGGGATGTTACGGCGAAGAGTTGTAAGGTTTTACGTTCGATTAGTTGCCGTAAAATCGTGATTATTGCTACGTCTGTTGTCGTTGGGTAATTAAAATTTTTCTACTCGTTTGTTTTATTTTGCTTCTAAATAAAAATATTGCAACTGTTTTATCACAAGTGTTGCGTTGTGGTCTACAACTACAATTGGCAAAACGTTTCCCTTGTTGTTTCTGTTACTCTTTATGAAATACTTCTTCCTAATATATTTACAAAATTTTCGTTGAATTCTTAATCAAATCTCTCGGCTGGTTATTTTGTTATGTTCTATTATGCTAGATTTTTGTTTATCTATTAAAACAATATTCCAGTTATAGTTGCAAGCGTAGTGTTGTTGATAAGTTTTACGCTCGCTGGAGCGTTTCTCTAACACATCAAAGCCACAAATTATATATTGCATTATTAAAAAATAAAGTCTATAAAATGATGAATAAATGTTATTACTTTTTTTAAATTTTTTTTAAGGAAAATACACATTACTAACCTTAAATGTCTCCTTCAGCTTAAATTGCCTTCACTCGCCTTAACTTCTCTTCATTATCAACGTTGAACTCATTGAACTGCATTTTACATTTTTTCAATCAATCTATTCATTCATTTATTTGTTTTCTTTTCCAATTTTCAATCCATTATTATCTTTGTTGTTCATTGAAACAATACTTTTTGAACAAAAAAAAAAAAAAAACTTCGGAAAATTGTATTTTTTCTTTATTTATACATTTATGTGCTCCGTTCAATAACATACGCCTTGTACTTTTTTATCGTATTTTTGCGTACTCTTTCCGTTTTCGTTAATCTTATTTAATTGTGAATATTTATTGACGTTTTCACGCTTTTCTTGATGTTTAAATCTTTGAAAATTCAATGAATTTTTCATGAAATAGGGGAAAACAATTTAGCTATTTTTCACAAAAACAATTTTCTCCTATCAGCAAAAACAGCTATTAACTCTTGTCAACATAGAAACGGAGTTGCCATACCTCAAAGTGCACTGAGCGAAAATAAATAATGCATTTTTTTCTCAAATTTCAAAGGTTTGCTTGGGCGAAAAAAACGTAACTACACAGACAAATATCTAACTAAACTAAAAAAATAAAGAAAAAGGATCTAACTATTTTTCTTCAGTTTATTTTGGTCATTTCTATTTATTACATAGAAATATTTTATTAAGATTTATAAAGACTTTTTTACATATTATTAAAGCATTATAGCTTATATTTGTTTCTGAAAGGGTTCTGAATTGCATACATTAAGCACAACTATATTGTTGAAGTAAGTGTAGGTGCAGGAGGACAATAATTGCAATAAATTCTACGACGATTGCCTAATTTCATGTTTAAATCAAATATCTTTAGATAGCTTTCACAGAGGCACTTTTATTTGTTAATGCGACGTTTTAAGAAAGCATTTATCAACACGAAACGATAAAAAAGAACCATAAAAAAATTACGATAATTTAATTACGTAAGTAAAAAAGAAATAAAAAATTTAACTTTCGTTTAGTACAAGATATCTATACGGCATTTACGCATTTCTCTATGCTGTTCCTCTTCTTTCATATCTCTCTGCATCTGCTCCATTTTTCGGTTTTTCTGATATTTCATGGACTAAGTCAAAACAATCTACTATGTCCTTACGGATGAGATATTGAGAATTCACAGCTAAAGAGCATCTGTATATCGAAGCCAGAGTGATTTGCTAGTTCTTAGCAATATAAGAAAAGCCAATTTTCATTTTTCATATCTTTATAGCTAAGCTAACATTAACGACCTTCCATAAGGCCAGGAAGTAAGAAAGAAAATATTTCAATTTAACTGATGTGTGCAACTTTGTGTGACATTATGTTTACAAAGAAATTCGAATTAAATTGGTTTTTATATCTTCTTTTTCTTCTCTTATTCAGCAAACTAACAACCTAAAATTCGCTGCGATGTGTTAGAAAGGCTTAATGTGAAAACCTTGTTCATTGTTTGGGCCTTAGTAAAATTGGGGTTAGACTTGGTGTATGTCATTATTATTTATTTATTCTAGTGATTATTTGATTAAAGATTTTTTGTTTTAATTTTGCAAAATTTTTCATACGTGATTACCACAACATAAAAAATAAACATAAAAATTTCAGTAGAGCAGATGCGGTGTCTAATTTATATTTAAATATAAATAGCTTTATTTATATAATAGCTTTATTATATATTTAAAATAGCTTTATTAATATATATAAAAATATATATAAGAGAAATTGCTATTCTTTTTAATGTTTTCCTAATTGTTTCCGATTTTTCTTCCTCGGCTTGGTCGCTTTGGCTCTTCTACCATGTTTAGTGTTTTGGAAAATACGCGAACTAAACATATTTAATTGTACAAGTTAGTCTAAAAGTAGACCGCCATAATTTTTTTTTTATTATCAAATTAAATAAAACAGTAGCCAAATTTTCTGCTATTTGCAGAACGAACGTAATACTCTATGCTAATTGGCAAACCCATCGGCAAAAGTCCTCAAACGATTTCTTTGCTTTTTCAGCAAACTCCCACAAAAATATTTGGTAAATCCCGTAAAACTAAGTTAAGTAGAATGGTAGCCTTTGCATTATGGCAAGTATTTGGTAACATCTTACTTTCTGACAGTAAAATTTGCTTTGCTGTATATTGGTGTAGGATGCTTGTTCTTGTCCATTTTCTTGGTATAGGATGCTTGTTATTGTTTTCATTCTTGGTGTAAGATACTTGTTCTTCTTCATTTTCTTGGTGAGTCGTGATGGTCACGTATAAGACAACTGAATTTGAATTAGAAATGAACTACTCTGCTTTTTTATATAACTTTTTAAAAACAAATATGTAAATAATGTTTAATGCAAATAAAATATGCAGCAGTCTTGATTTATTACCAATAGTAAGTTTTTGAACACTCTAAGAAATTCTTTCGAAATAACATTCCGCTTGAAAAACGTAGCAAATTCTCATTTTCCAGAATTGGCTGTGTTTTTTTCCACCATTTATTCTCATTTTCCAGAATTGGTTGTGTTTTATTCTCGTTTAACAGAATTGATTGCGCTTTTTTCCATCTCTTATTCTCATTTAACGGAATTGATTGTGTTTTTTTCCAGACTTATTAAAAGCAACTCTGTTCATTCTCTATTCACAATACATGGTACTTTTTTTTATAAACCATGTAAAGGAAAAAACCACCTAACGGCTCTTAGCGAAAAATCAAAACTACTTCACAAGTGTAAAAAAAAGTTCGACGATGTGAAAAATACAGAAAAACAATTTTAAAGAAATAATAAGAAAGTTAAAAGATTAGAAGACGAAGGTGAAAAATATATATAAAATTAAATTAAAAAAAAACCAAAAAATTATAAAATTATAAAAAAATATTAGTGCATTAGAAAAGTTTAAGGAAAAAAAAGTGGGTTAGGATATATATCATTTCATAAGTTAAATAAGTAAGGAATTTGATAATAAAAGTTGAATAAATATAAACAATTTAAATAAATAAAAGTTTGTGGAATAAGTATAAAAAAGTGTAACCTTAAGTAATATAAGAGCATTGGCGGTAAGCGCATTTATTTACTATTTACAATTTACAAAAACGAAGACGAACAAGCTATCGTCAATATGAGAGATGAAATAAGTAACTAAATTGATTGCAAAGAACTCGGATTCTAAATTGAAAGTAGATAAGTTTATCCATCAGCGGAAAAAGACAACACCAAGGTAAGTGAAGAAAAAATGAAAAGACTCTGCACCGCCGCGTGATCGTGGGATTGCCTCCGATTGAAGCCAACAAGCAAAATCGACCGACAAGAGTTTCGCCGGCTTTCTCATGCTGCTCCTCGGAAGTAGGGTAATGAAGCAGACTCCATCTCTCACTTTAAAATTCTCTGAAGAAAGTTTAATGCAGTTAGCTGCGACATCCCCTTGAATCTCATGTAAAATTAATACTAGAACAGTTTTTAGGAATTAAAAATGATGCTTTTATTCTTACGACAATATAATTCTTCGAATATAATAAAGAGATCGTATTATTATTATCAACCTATGTTCCATTTAGTTCACAGCCAAATTAATATTTTTTGTTTTGTTTAGGTTTGTTATTTTTGTATGAATATGGTAACATGCAATCGTTGTTGATTATTTTGTTTCGTTCCGGTTTGTTATTTTCACTTCAACACTTCATTTTAGTCAATTTAGTGAAAAAAGAAAATACGTCGCTCCGTCCAATTTTCTTTGAAAAATTTCTTAAAGAAAAATTATGTTCAAAGCAGAGAATTATATATCGGATAGCGATGAAAGCGATGAAGATTTTTGTCCGGAAAATGAAGCGGAAGCAGAAAGTGCGGAAGAAGAAAGTGGTGTTGATGAAGATCAAGTTGAAGACAATTCCGACAATTCCGATAATAAAGAAAGAATTAAAACCAACTCCACCAAAGCCGACACAGCTAAGACAAGAAAGAAAAAAATTAAAAAAATAAATAAAAATAATACAAAGAATGAAATTTCCAAACAACGTCCAAATACAAGGCAAATTTGTGAAAGCAAAGGCAAATCGCTATCAGAAAAGGTAACTTTGGAGTCGGACGAAGACGATAAAACACGCACTGATGCTTTATGGGCAGATTTTTTGAACGATGTGAAGCCTACATCTAAGCAAGAGAATGAAGAAGCCACCAATATAACCAGTTCCTCAATAAATGATAAGGGAAAGCCAGTAGACATGACCGAACAACAATCTAAAATGAAAACAATTCAAGAAAATACAACTGAGAGCAAAGACAAATTAATTGTAACGGAAGTAATGGATTTTGCAGGTGAAGAGATACGCATACAGAAACAAATTGATCTGAATAGCAGTAGCAGTAAGAAGGAGAATAGAGCCGCCCTTACAGCGACGCCTAAAATGCAACCGTTTGGACGCATAATGCCGGGAGCTGGCTTGAAAAGACAATCATCTTCTTTAAGCGGAAGCAGTTCATCGGGTAGTGGCTTGGGTACAATTCTCAATCAAATTGGTAAAAAGAAAAAACTTTCTGTACTGGAGAAAACAAAGTTGGATTGGAATTCTTTCAAGCATGACGAAGGAATTGCAGAAGAATTGCAAACATTTAATAAAGGCAAAGATGGGTAAGTGAAAGAATTTGTAAAACAATTCATTTCTATTTATGTTTGTATGTTTGTATGTTTATAGGTACTTAGAACGTCAAGACTTTCTACAGCGTACTGATTTACGTCAATTCGAAATTGAGAAAAGCTTACGACATTCACGGCGAAATCATTGAATAAATCATCATATATAACTTAAATATATCTAATAGAACTTTATAGAATTATGATCTATATATACATTTTTCATCTTTTTTTACCAATTATAACTTCGTTGTAATTAAGTCTCAATTATTATTAAGTATTGTGCTACTTTATGAAGGATCGAAACCTTTTTTTTTTTTTTTTTTTTTTGTCCACTTAGTATTTACTTTTACGCTTTTTGCAAGTAATTATCTGAAAAACTTATTTCCAAACTGATTTTGCATAATCATGCCAACTAATCAGATCAGGTATTCATAGAATTAAATGTCATATTATAGTAACGTGCGTTTTTTTGATGTCGATGTAAACATTTTGGCTTGAAATGAATAAAAATATCTAAATGCTATTAAAAAAGATTTGGTTTTCGAAATTACAATGGAATGGTTTTTTTTGATTTCATTGGGATGACTTTTATATCCATTTTATATCCATTGTCGTGGGGAAAAGGTGTTATTCATTTTGTTATAAAGTTTGCAACATCCAAAAGGACCCTATAAAGAACAAATATATTCTTGGTTAGAATCGATTAAGCCATGTCTGTCCACCTGTGTATTTGTATGGCGTGTCCTTGTTGCAAAAATGAAGATATCGACTTCAAGTTTGATAAAAACATTGAAAGCTTCTGCACGCAAGTTGGTATAGTAAATGGTCCAAATTAGTCAAAACAACTGCCTGTAGTAAAGCGTAAAGTGAATGCCACTGTCTTTCTTTAAGCAAAAATTTGTGGATTTTTGCTCATAGATTGCTGAAATTTCGGCCATGCTCGCACCAAGTGACTGCTTGCTAATCACAAGCTAGCAAAGACAGACTGTTTAAAACTGTTTTGTACTCCAATAATCAAATGAACATTATCTGCCTGCAAGTGTTAATTCTAAAATAAACATGGCGGACACGACGACGTGGTGGAATAATTATTTCTTAATGATACAATCGATATGGGTATCAAATAAAAAGAATTGAAAATTTTATTATATTGCAGTATATTCCATGAGAATGGAATGTAGGGCAACTCCAACGTTTTGCTCGAGTAGAATTGCATTTTGTGAAAAATTGTCGAGTGACATTATGGAACTCTATGCTCTAGAAGTACTGATTAGGAATAAAAAATTTTAATTTT